GTGGAAGATGACCCAAGGCCATAGGCCCCTGCACCCACATGGGAGATTTAGAGGAAGCTCCTGGCTTCTGGTTTCAGCCTGACCCAGTCCTAGCCGACCCAGCCATTTGGGGGAGTGAACAGAGGTTGATTGATCTCGCTCTCCCTCTCCCTCTCTAACTCTGACTTTTAAACAAATAAATATATCTTAAAAAAAAAAAAAGAAATCTGTATACTGTGTTCCATAGTGTCTGAACTATTACATTCCCAACAATAATGTATAAGAGTTCAAAATATCCATATTTGCAGATGATGTGATGCTGTACATGGAAAAACCTATACACTTCACCAAAAAGCTGTTGGAACTGAAAACAATTCAGTAAAGTCACTGATTATAAGATCAGCATACAAAAAAAATAGCATTTTAAAAACTTTATTTATTTATTTGAAAATCAGGGGGCCGGCTCTGTGGCGCTGGCATCCCATATGGGTGCCAGTTCTAGTCCCAGCTACTCCTCTTCCGATCCAGCTCTCTGCTGTGACCTGGGATAGTGGTAGAAGATGGCCCAAGCCCCTGCACCCACATGGGAGACCAGGAAGAAGCACCCAGCTCCTGGCTTCCGATAGGCGCAGCTCCAGCCGTTGTGGCCATCTGGGGAGTGAACCAACGGAAGGAAGACCTTTCTCTCTGTCTCTCCCTCTCACTGTAACTCTACCTCTCAAATAAATAAATAAAATCTTTAAAAAAATCATAATTACAGAAAAGGGGGGAGGGAGACTGAGATTTTGCATCTACTGGTTCAGTCCACAGAAGCCCAAAGCCAAGGCAGAAATCTGGAGCTGAGAGTTTTATCCAGATTTCCCACGTGAGCAGCAGGGGCCTAAGAACTTGCACCATCTTCTGCTGCTTTTCCCCATCTAATTGATTGTGCCCACCCACACTGAAGGCTGAGTCTTCCCAGCCAGTACACTCAGACTTACATGCTAATCTCATTTGGAAACACTGTCACAGACACACCCAAAATAATGATTTTCCAGGTTTCTAGGTATTCCTTAATCTAGCCAAATTGACCCCTAAAATTAAGTATCATAAGCACCTAATGGATAACACTGAGAATCTAAAAGTTATTTATAAGCACAGTAATTAATAGTTGGTAGTTATTTTTCATCATTGGGCTTTTTATATTTATTTATTTGAAAGACAGAGTGACAGAGAAAGTGGAAGAGACACATAGTCAAAGAGAGATCCTCTATCCATTGGTTCACTCCCCAAATGCCTAAAATCTCCAGGGCTGGGCCAGGCCAAAGACAGGAACCTGAACCTCCACCCAGGTCTCCCACATGGGTGGCAGAGAACCAAGTACTTGGGACATCGTTCTCTGCTTTCCTAGATGCACTAGTAGAAAGCTGGATTGAGAGTGGAGGAGGCAGGAGGAGGCATTCGCTTAATTGGCTGCTGCCACAATGTCCACCTGATCATTGTTATAAATGTATAGACTGACTTTGGTTTTATTTTGAAAGAGCCTTTGGTTGTTTAGATAATGCAGATAATTTCTTCAGTTCTTATTTTTGTCAGTCCTACAGATAGCTTGGGCTAATATCCCCCTCTTATTGAAAGAGGAAGAGATAAAGAACATTTGGTTTATGTCTCAGTCTGTTCAGGCTGCCCTAACAAAATGCCATGTGTGGATTAAACAACAGAAATTTCTCACAATTCTGGGGGCTGGAAGTGCTAAGATCAAGGTGTTGGCCCATTCACTTCCTGGCAAAGCTCTCTTCCTGGCTTGCAGAGTTCTTCTCCTTGTGTCCCCACATGGCTTTTGCCTGGCGCCAGCAGGGAAAAGAAAGAGTAAGGGAGAATTCTGCCTGTTCTCGTGAAGCCACTAATTCCAGCTTTCATGACCTAATCTAACCCTGACTAGCTTCCAAAGAGCTCCTCTCCAAATATCATCACACTGGAGCTTAGAGCTTTAACATATACATTTTGAAGGGACACAAACATTCATTTTTTAAAAAGATTTATTTATTTATCTGAAAGTCAGAGCCACACACAGAGAGAAGGAGAGGCAGAGAGAGAGAGAAAGAAACAGAGGTCTTCCACCCGCTGGTTCACTCCCCAATCAGTCGCAACAGCCAGAGCTGCGCCAATCCGAAGCCAGGATCCAGGAGCCAGGAGCCTCTTCCAGGTTTCCCACGCATGTGCTGGGGCTCAAGGATCAGCGCAATCCTCCACTGCTTTCCCAGGCCATAGCAGAGAGTTAGATTGGAAGTGAAGCATCTGGGACTCGTACTGGTGCCCATATGGAATGCCGGCACGGCAGGCTGCAGCTTTACCCACTGTGCCACATCGCTGGCCCCCAAACACTAATATTTTAAGAGTTTTTTTGTCAAGAAATTTCAAAAATAACAAAAATGTTAATACATAGTGTTGGAGAATAAATTTTCATAAATTCAACTTCATTTTATATATGTGTTCACATATTCTGTCTAAATTCATTTAAAATTGCATTTTAGGGGGCCAGTGCTGGCACAACTTGAAGGCTTGCTGGTTCAAATCCCAGCTGCTTCACTTCTGATCTAGCTCTCTGCTAACATGCCTGGGAAAGAAGCAGAAGATGGTCCAAGTCCTTAGGTCCCTGCCACACATGTGGGAGATCAGGAAGAAGTTCCTGGCTCCTAGATCCTTTCCAGACAGTGCGGCCATTTAGGGAGTGAACCAGCAGGTGGAAGGTCTGTTTCTATTTCTGTCTCTCTCTTTATCTCTCTAGCTCTGCCTTTCAAATAAATCTTTTTTAAAAGTTGCATCTTAAGGATGGGCATTAAGATAACATTAAGATAACACTTGAGACACTGGCATCCCACTGTTACCATCCTCAGGTTCGTTGGCTCACTTGCAAATAGAAATTGACAGGAGGCCAATGTGCCAATGTCCCCAAAGTTTACTGGGGACTTATGCTTGAGAACAAGGGAGACAGCACAGTGGGAAAAGGTTCCCCACAGTGGCTCCCCAACTGGGGTTGAACAGGTGCTTTTATGGGGTATTGAGGTGTGGTGTTTTCCCCTGGCACGTGACACTTCAGTATGTTAGGTGTTCCATTAAGGGCTGGATTCTTGTTCTTCTTTCTGTTTTTGCTTATTTTCCACACAGAATGTTTAAAATGACAATGTAACTCACTGCCACCATCCCAGGAAGGTCATATATTTGTAGTTCAGGGCTACTCTGGGCAGGCCTGCAGGTTGAAGTCCCTAACAGGATAGAAGGAAATCTTTTCCACTTAGGGTCCAGAAACTCCTTGTTCCTGAATGGTTTGGAGCTGCAGCTGGATACACAGTTCAGGAGACAGATACCTGGCAGGTTAGGAGGGGCCTGACTTAGTCAGTGCTGTTCCTATCCTGTCTCACCATGGCCCAATTCTTGAGTTCTTGTTCAGCCCCTCTCATTACAGCTTCTGGCTGATGTGCAAGGCAGCAGGTGATGATTCAAGTAGTTAGGTCCCCTGGTAGATCTGGATGGAGTTCTTAGCCCCTGACTTCCACCTGGTTCAGCTCTAGCCTTGTATACATTTGGGTGAGAATCAGCAGGTGGTAGTTCTGTGTCTCTCTGCCTCTCATAAAGTAACTTTTAGGGGCCAGCGCTGTGGCGTAGTGGATAATGCTGCCACCTGCAATGCCGGCATCCCATATGGGCACCAGTACGAGTCCCAGCTGCTCCACTTCAGATCCAGCTCTCTGCTATGGCCCGGGAAAGCAATGGAAGAGGGCCCAAGTTCTTGGGCCCCTACACCCATGTGTGAGACCTGGAAGAAGCTCCTGGCTCCTGGCTTTGGATTGGCCAGGCTCTGGGGAGTGAACCAGAGGATGGAAGACTCCTCTCTCTCTCTCTGCCTCTGCATAACTCTGCCTTTTAAATAAAAGATAAAATTAAATCTAAAAAAAATTTTTAGGGGCTGGTGCTGTGGTGCAATGGGCTAAGCCTCCGCCCTTGGCACTGTAATCCCATATAAGCGTTGGTTCAAATCTCGGCTGCTCTTCTTCCGCCAGCTCTCTGCTATGGCCTGGGAAAGCAGTAGAAGATGTCTCAAGTGCTGGGATCCAGGTCTCTCACGTGGGTGCAGCCATTTGGGGAATAAACCAGTGTAAGGAGGACTTCTCTGTCTCTTCCTCCCTCTGTAACTCTACCTCTCAAATAAATAAAATCTTTTAAAAAATTTTTAATTGCATTTTATTTTAATACAGGTTAGGAAAATCCCCATTTAAAGGAATTCTGTGGTTTGTTTTGCAAAACGAATCAGTCCTTTATAGTAAAAATTATGATTCTATAATTCATCTGTTTTGTAAATTTGGATATTTGCCCACTAGATTTTCTGAAGTCTGTGTGGATGGACAGAGCTGCATACAGTTGCCCTGAGCAGGTAAAAATGTAGGTGGAAAATCAGAAAACAGATTTTAAGCCCTTGTTTATCTATATATTTTAATAAAACTACACTTTTTTTAAAAAATTCACAAATCATAATTAAAAATTTAAAATTTTTTGGATTGTATTTAAATTGTTGCGTCAGAAATATACACACGTTTTACCTAGAAACATGCCTCCGGGGAGTATCAGCTGAAAAGACTAAGCAGGAGAGGACACAGGAAGCAAGAAATAACTTCCACGTGTGCTGTGAAGCCTCTGCCCCCACAGTGGCCCAAACGCTGACCGTCAGCCAAAGGCTCGGTGACCGCACCGTGACTCTGCCGGCCTCATGGAAGCCGAGCCCCCTGGGGCAGCGAGTGGCGTTCCGGGTCTCTGCCATCAGCTGACGCCGATGGAGCATTTCTAGAAAAATCACTGCCTCTAACGAGTCAGGAAGCGTCAACCCTTTCTCCAATTCAGTCTTCTACCATTCTGCGTACACAACCTAGGTTTGCAACAAGAACACGGAACGGGACCCCTTGAACCTGTAAGGGAAATGCAGTTTTCCACGTACAGGAAGAAGAAACAGCATCCAATCGGCGCCGGGTTCTCAATGGCCAATCAAACCTCGTCTTACAATATAGCGCTGGGAGAAAGGGAGCTGGACTTCTCAGTTCCCTGGCGTGTGGCTGCAGTCACCTGGTAGGGGCGCACTCCGTGAGGCTGCTTTTGTTACCTGGGATACAAGGGGCGAGCAGTTGTGTCCTCCGTGCTTGCTGGATTTGCTTGTATTTGTTTTCAGCCACTGCTCATGTAATGCACTCCCTTAACCAGGAAATTAAAGCATTCTCCCGGAATAATCTCCGGAAGCAATGCACCAGGGTGACAACGCTAACTGGAAAGAAAATTATAGAAACGTGGAAAGATGCCAGAATTCACGTTGTGGAAGAAGTAGAGCCGAGCGGTGGGGGTGGTTGTGGTTATGTGCAGGATCTTAGCTTGGACCTGCAAGTTGGCGTTGTTAAACCATGGTTGCTCCTGGGTGAGTATATTTCCTTGCCACTAAGTCATTGGGTCCTTTTAGCCAGATTACTTTCTCATCCCCCTCTCCCATTATGTGTAATCTGTACGGTCAGCTGCCTTGCTGAAAAGTCGAAATGGTTCTTTTTTTGAATGTGGACCATCCATTAGCCACCTAGAGACATTTCTGTCCCACAGTATATCCCTAAGAAGCATAGATTCTAGAAACACTTGGCACCTGGTGTTTGAATTTTAGAAAAGTTTCCTGTTTTCCTGACTTCTATAGAGGATAGCACATTCATGTTCTGTTTTCTTGGATTATGAAAGATTATAGCAAATGAAGCAAAAGTTATGCAAATACCAACTCGCGAATTTGTCAAGAATATGGTATGATGTATAATTTAAAAAATAGTCGACAATTTTAAGTAGGCTGGAATTGTTTTTCATTTAAGAGCAGAGAAATTATCAATATTTATGCAGACAAGGCAATTTTGAGTTGAAAGAACACTGAACTGTGTGTCAGAAATAGCCGTGTACCATGAAAAATTTGCACAGCATCTTTCTCTGCTTAAGAACTCTGTAAAGTAGAGATCATCAGCTCCATTTTACACATGGCAACTGGAATTTAGGATTGGTTAACTAACTTCACAAGGTAACACGTCTAGTAAATAACCGAGTTGGGTATCAAGCCCAAATCTGGTTGACTCCTGCTCTCCATTGTTATTCTGTGCTGTTTTATGGAGGCTAAATCTTCGGTTCTGTTCTGCCTCTAATTTACTAGATTAGCTAATACAAGTCATTTATCTTTTCTGCCCTCCAAAAAGCCCTGAAGTTATAGTATCTGTGTATCTCATAAAGTTGTTCTGAAGTTTTTATGAAAGGTTCTTGACACACATCAGTTGTAGGATACGTGAGTTATTATTATGTGATGTGGTATATGAATCGTTTCATAGGCTATTTTTAAGTTTACTATATAAATATCTCCAGCTAGTTTCTGTAGTTCAGTGAAAAAAATATACCACATTCTAGCCAAAACATTAGTGAAAAATTAAGTAAATCTTTTAGTTAATAAGAAATGTCCACCTCTCTCTGCTTATCATAACTAGGAAAGAAAATATATCCAGGCAAATCTTTTAGTTATTTGGCTTCCATTGCAGTACTAAATGTTTAAAATAATTATGGTGGAATCTTTATGTATTATTCACTAATCAGGGCCTTCATGAACTTTGCTGTTATTTCATTCTCTTTTATGTGGACCGATCAAGGTTATGTTTTCAGATTGGGGTTAGAATCCTTCCTAGGATTCCAGAACAGTCCTGGGAGGGACTTCTGAAACTAGTCCTAATATGGACTCTTCTCTGGACCAGGAAATGGGATATTTTTTTTCTGAAAGATAGAGGAAGCCTGTTTCTGTCTAGTTAAAATTGCTTTATTCCTGAGGGACCCATAGATGGCTACATCTACAGTTCCACATGAATGATGCAGGAGTTGTTTCTAAGCAGATTTGGTTTCTGGGTTATTTCCAGGTTGGTGATTATAAGAGCTTCCTTCTTCTCAGTGAGCTCAGCTTCGTCCCAGCATTGCATGCCAAACAATTTTTGTTTTGGGTGGTGTGGCCTAGTGGGTAAAAGCCACCGCCTGCAGTGCTGGCATTCCATATGGGTGCTGGTTTGAGTCCTGGCTGCTCCACTTTAGATCCAGCTTTCTGTTTTGGTCTGATAAAGCAGTAGAGGATTGCCTGAGTCCTTGGGCCCCTGCACCCACATGGGAGACCCAAAAGAAGCTCCAGGCTCTTGGCTTCAGATGGGTGTAGCTCTGACCGTTGCAGCCATTTGGGGAGTGAATCAGCGGATAGAAGACTGAATCTCTCTCACTCTCGCTCTCGCTTTCTGCCTTTGCCTCTCTATAACTCTGCCTTTCAAATAAATAGGTAAATATTTTAATGAAAAAAAAGAGAAAGTTGTAAAAATCAAGTATGTCTTTTTTAGTTAGCTTATAAACTCCAATAAGCTAATGCATTTCTAAAATCTTACATAGGCCCTAAACATTTTAAGGGGTGCATACAAGATCTTAGTAAACACTTTTTGTCCTACGCTTTGCAAGTTTTATATATATATATTCAGTTGAAAGGCAGAGTTACAGGGAGAAAGGAGAGACAGAGAGAAAGGGATCTTCCATCAGCTGGTTCATTCTTCAAATGGCCACACCAGCTGAAGCTAGGCCAGGCCCAAGCCAGGAGCCAGGGGCTTCTTCTAGGTGTCCCACATGGGTGCAGGGGCCCAAGGACTTGGGCCATCCTCTTCTGCCTTCCTAGGTGCATTAGCAAAGAGTTGGATCATAAGTGGAGCAGGCCACACTCATATAGAATGCTGTGACTGCACCACAGCTCTAGCCCCAGCAAATAATATTATTAGAGCAAAAATCAGTAGGACTTTTCTTTAACTCTAACTTTATTTGAAAAAGTAGGAATTTCTATTTCTTTTGGATAGTTAAACAGAATACTTGTTATTTGTTAATAGCAGTTCTGTTCTGAGTCAGTGGTTCTGAGAAGTCCCAATTGATGACTTTTTGAACTCTATAATTCCAAGAGAAAAGCTTGAGATACTCTATGTGATTGTAGAGGATTTCTGAGCTCTAGGAAATCCAATATTCTTGGGAGAACATGCATTAAATTTGTTTAAATAGTTTTTATGTAACATTCTTTCACAAATATATTACCTACTCCTCATAGTAAGTTGTGCTTCTATTTCTATTCATCTAAAAATGATCACTACTATAGATTTTTTTCAAAAATTGGGTTATCATTTAGTTCTCTCTTCGTTAAGGTAATAACTTTTGGTTATTTTTGTGATTTGTACATTAAGGCTTGATACATCACTTATATATTTTTTGATATTTTCATAAACATTATCTCTTAAAATGATAGGAACAAGGTGTTAGAGATCTTACAAAGCCTGTAATTCATGATACGTAGAGTATGATTGCAAAACCTTGAGCCTGTTAGAAGTCCCAGTTCCAGTAACCTGTAATATGAATATACTTTTTAAGTTACCTTATTATAACATTTCTATAATAATCTTTGTCTCAGATAAGGAATATTTGAGTACTATGTGTCAATATACAGTATAACTATAAATTGCTATAAGTAGACCTTCTGTTTAGCTGTATTCCTATTCATCAACTTTTAAAAATTACTATACAATTAAATTGATTTAGTGTTCAGTTCTATGAATTTTAAAAGAAAAATAGATTATTGTAACCATTTAAATCCATCAAGTTTTTGAACTTGTTGTTTTTAATAATGATTGAAATAATTTATAAAAGGATGATGTTCTACTTTTCTAAGATTTTTTTTTTTTTTTTTTTTTTTTTTTTTTTTTTTTGACAGGCAGAGTGGACAGTGAGAGAGAGAGACAGAGAGAAAGGTCTTCCTTTGCCGTTGGTTCACCCTCCAATGGCCGCCGCGGCTGGCGCGCTGCGGCCGGCCCACCGCGCTGATCCGATGGCAGGAGCCAGGAGCCAGGTGCTTTTCCTGGTCTCCCATGGGGTGCAGGGCCCAAGCACCTGGGCCATCCTCCACTGCACTCCCTGGCCACAGCAGAGAGCTGGCCTGGAAGAGGGGCAACCGGGACAGAATCCGGCGCCCCTACCGGGACTAGAACCCGGTGTGCCGGCGCCGCTAGGCGGAGGATTAGCCTAGTGAGCCGCGGCGCCGGCCTTTTCTAAGATTTTAAAAATTAGTATGTGATTCACTGTTTATTTATTTTCATGACAAGTGTTTTTCCATTAAAAGTTTAACACAAGATTGTAAGACAAAAAGTCTATTTGAAACTGGAAGAAAGCTAATGTTTATATCTAGAATTTAGAGAGAATTAACTCAAACTGGATAGTACCAAGTATTAGTTTTAGGAACACAAGCTGATACTGTTACCTCATGCTGTGGATTAACATTTATTTATTTTTCTTATTGTTTGAAAAGGCAGAGCATACAAATTGTATTTTTTGATCTCAATATTAAATCAATATATTCAAATTATGGAAGTCAGTTTCGAAATTTGGCAGACTGACCTGAAATTTAATTGACTTGGTCTGTGTTTGATGTGTGTATTTAATGGAAATGATCAATGCATTCAGTGTTGATAAATATTTGTAATAATAACAGTATAGGGTGAAAACAGGAAAGAATTTTATGTAATGTTTCACCTTTTTTTGCTATTTTAAGCAATAGTAAATTATTTTTAAATGACATGCATATGTACTTTTAAATATTTTATTTATTAATTATGGAGGGAGAGAGAAAGAGAGATTTCCTGTCCACTGGCTCACTCTGCAGATGCCTGCAACAGTCAGGGCTGAGGCAGGTCAAAGCCAAGAGCTAGGAACACAATTCAAGACTCCCACGTGGGTAGCAGGGACCCCAACTGCTGCCTCTCAGGATCTGCTAAAGCAGGAAGCTGGAATCAGGAGCTCAAAATGAGACTAACCAGATGACATGAAATCACTGAATTTCACTTAATTAATTTGAGTCCATTTTTTCTCCCTAGAGATGTAGCAAACCAAACAAACCAAGCAAAAAACCAAACAAAACCAAAAGAACAAAAATAAAAAACTGATAATTTTTAAAAATTTTGAAGTTTTTCAAATTTATAGAAAATAATATAATAGACAATTGCGTGTCAACCATGCAGCTTTAACAAATGTTAATATTTGATCAGCTGTCTTTTAAGTAGAATAAAGGTGAATGTGGGCTCAGCAAGGAGCCTATAGCTTGGTATTGTGAAGAGAATATTGGCCAAACAATGTATGTGCTGGCCTTTAAGCTATCTAAATTCATGTAAGAGCTGACTGATTTTTCCACAGGTCTAAGATTTAAAAAAACACTGTTTATGGAAACAGAGCCTAATTTGCAAAAGTAAATAACTTGAAGCCTGTAAATATAAATACCCTATTTTTTCATTTGTGAAACTCTATTTTAGCTAATTTTTCTCCCTATGAACTTCTTATCAGTTAGAGCCAGTTTCCAATTGTGGAAGATCTAGAAAGCCAACTTCCACAGAAGAGAATGTAAAAGGGCACACAGCCCAGTGGTACATGGAGCGTGGGTGGTATCCTATGGACCAACAGTTTGCTCTGAGCTACTGGGTGTTCCCAACCCAGCTGGCACCAAGTCACTTTGTGGGTGTTTGATTTTCTTAATACCCTTTTTTAATTTGCAAAAGAGAGATGTTTACTGTGGAAAATAGAAATGAACATGAAGAGGGGAATAAAAGCTTACTTGTTACCCCACAGCTAACATTTTGAGTTGTATACATTGTCCATTCTTTTTTTTTTTTAATTTTATTTAATGAACATGAATTTCCAAAGTACAGCTTATGGATTACAATAGCTTCCCCCCCATAACTTCCCTCCCACCCACAACACTCCCCTCTCCCACTCCTTCTCCCCTTCCATTCACATCAAGATTAATTTTCAATTATCTCTATGTACAGATCAATTTAGCATATATTAAGTAAAGATTTTCACAGTTAACATTTTGAGTTGTATACATTGTATACAACATTTTGAGTTGTATACATTGTCCATTCTTAAGCATATACACATTTTTTTGTTTTATAAAAATTGATGATGATGTTTTGTAACCTGCTTTTATTACCTTATATGTTGAGAGCATGTTTCCATGCCATAAATATTCTGAATTTTTTGTTTCTGATTGTGCAAAAAGCCATATATATTTCACTGCACAATTATAACATATTTTATTTAATTCAATCCCTATTATTGGGTTTTTAGTTGTTTTTTTTTTCTTTTTTTGTGTGTGTTAAAAACAGTACTATAGCAAATACTTGTATAGCTAATCATTGAAACATCTCTGAATTTTAGGATGAATCATAGAAGTGAAAGAGTCTAAAAGTGTATACAAAATGAATATTGCAAACTGCCTTTTAGAAAGTTAGACTAAGGACCCCCTCCCTTGTTAAAGAAAACTAATAGAATTGTTATACAAAATTTTATGAAGTCAGGAAGGTTGTATTTATGTTCAATTTATGTTCAGGCTGATTTATTTCTTGTAGGGTCACAGGATACTGCTCATGATCTGGATACACTGAAGGAGTACAAGGTAAAAAAAATGCCTCAAATCTGGTAGCATATATAGGAAGTATTTTAATTGTTACATTCATTTAGGAAAAACAGTGTTGGTCCATCTTTAATACGTTTCAGTATAATTGTTAACATTGTGCCTTTCGTCCTAATGAAGTTGCAAAAAGAACTATATGTTTTTCAAATCATTGCACCTATTGTCTATCTTTCCAGTTTTATATTTTTCTCAATGCCCTTCACAAACGCCCATGAACCTGACCTTGGAAGCATTTCTTTCTTATGTCATCCTTGTGTTGGATTGACTTGCCATCATCTTTGTAAGACCTACTCATCCGTGCCTTCAGTCCCAGCTCACATACCATGTCTTCCCTAATACATTTCCTCCTACCCTCCTCCACACAAATGTTGTGATGTTCACTTATTTCAATATCTACTCAGAATGTTTAGCCATTTACCATTTTGTCAAGCACTGTTTTAGAACATTTGTGGAGAGGCAATGAGGAAGTGATGGCAGGGGCAAAAAAGGATATGGAGAGGTTAAGTGTGGGAGAGTTTAGAGCATGTTTTCGGGCAGTGATAGAGGACGGAGCTGAGGAGATAGGAAAGCAAAAATTGTGGCTGAGTGTGCCAAGAAAGTAGGAGGCCATGTGCCCTCAAGCACAGATACTGGAATGAGCACTCTAAAGGATGCAGGAGTGTATCAGTCATTACAATAAGAAGGCAGAAGGAAAGGGTGGGTGCAGATACAGGCGGTGTTGTTAGGTTTGGTGGTAGATGTGTGGGTTCCTGTATGATAGCTTCTCTTTTTACCACTGAGCAGTACATGAGGTAACTTGCTGGAAGTATGGAAGAGATGGTAAGGTTGAAAGTTCTTAGGAAGGTGGAAAAGGTTTGAAAAATCCATATGGAGCATGGGGGAGAGAAACCTGCTAGAGCAATGCAGTTTGTAGGCATTGCTGAGCATTGAAAGATGTTGGTTCTCATCAATTTATGACAGACAAGAAATACAATATTGTGTGACTTTTCTCCAGCACTGTAAAGAAGAGTGTGTATAAACTGAACTTTTGCCAGAAAGGTATAGGCAAGGTGCACTATGGACTATTAGCTGAAAGAAAAGGTGGTGAAGGCAAAAGGTGGCTGATATGTAAGAAGAAAGCAGAAATATCAAGTAATTGATGGCTTTTCTAAGGTCTAGTGGAAGTAACTGAGTGAAAAAGCTGGAAAGAAAGGAATGGGAGGGACAGGCAATATGTTGTAGCAGGTTAAGCCTCTGTCTGCAGCGCTAGCATCCCTTATGGGCGCCAGTTTGAGTCCTGGCTGCTTCACTTCCAATCCAACTCCTTGCTAATGGCCGGGGAAAATAGCAGAAGACCCAAGTGCTTGGGTGCCTGCACCCACATGAGAGACCTGGAGGAAGCTCCTGGCTACTGGCTTCAGACCAGCCCAGCTTTGGCTGTTTATGGCCATTTGGAGAGTGAACCAGTGGATGGAAGATCTCTGTCTCTGTCTCTCCGTCTCTCTGTCTGTAACTCTGCCTCTCAAATAAAGAAATAAATCTTAAAAAAATAATAAAAAATTTAAGATGGGAATGGGATACATAAACTAATCATATCAGAGCAGGAGCAGTTCTAGCATTGGCCTTGAAAGAGGATGTTTAAGTGGAGTGATAAGGAATGTCATTGGAGATAAGGTGGGCAGGGAACTGTTAAACCCAAAAGGAAATTGATGTCACCTAGGATAATGGGACTCAGTCTATATCTCCCTCCCACATGTGTGGCAGAGACCCAATCACTTGAGCCATCACCTGCTGCCTCCCAGAGTGCTGATTAGCAGGAAGCTAGAAAACAAAGTAGAGCTGGGATTCAAACCCAGGTATGTTTTTTACTTGGAATGCAGATGTCCCAAGCAGCATATTAATTGTTACCCCAGAGCCCTGCCCATAGCAGGATTTTTAAATAGCTACTTATTTCATATCACCATGATGGAACTGAATTTGAACTAGTTTATGAGAGGGGAAAGATGAAACAATACTTGCCTATGCAAAAAAATTTTCAGATTCTGTTTGTCATTTTGCCTTGAGGAATATTAATTTATTAGTGTAAGCAAGACTTTGAAACTTGTTCCACTTTTCTTAAAATATTGATGTAAGAGGGTTCCCATTATGGAGAACAGTGATTCTCATATGCTTAGGTGAGTCAACACCATTCTGTCTAGTTTCTCCTATCTGCTTTCAAGTGTCTCTCTTAAGTAGACTTTTGTTTTTTTTTACTGTTGTCTTTCTTCCACAAGGTAGTTAGATTAATAAATGGTTGATGGCTGTCTCTTCATGAAGCCTAATTCAGTACTCTTCTGGTTGTGAGACACACAAACCAATTTGAGCAACGTGGCAAGGAAAGAAAATGTGGATGTGGATCTGTGGTTTCAGATTGGCCCAGCTTCGGCTGTTGTGGCCATTTAGGGGAGTGAACCAGTGAATGGAGGATCTTGCTTGCTCTGTCTCTCTATTTTTAAGATTTATTTTATTTATCTGAAAGACAGAGTTACAGAGAGAGGTAGAGCCAGAGAGAGAGAGGTCTTCTGTTCTGCTGGTTCATTCCCCAAATGACCACGATGGCCAGAGTTGAGCTGATTTGAAGCCAGGAGCTTCTTCCGGATTTCTCATGTGGGTGCAGGGGCCCAAGGATTTGGGCCATCTTCTCCTGCTTTCCCATGTGCATTAGGAGAGAGCTGGATCAAAAGCCACCTTCTGCTGCTTTCTCTGACCATAGCAGAGAGCTGGATTGGAAGAGGAGCAGCTGGGACTCAAACTGGCACTCATATGGGATGCCGGTGCTCCAGGCTGGGGCTTTAACCCGCTGTGCCACAGTGTCAGCCCCCTCTCTCTCTCTTTTTAACTCTGCCTTTCAAATAAATAAATAAATCTTTTAAAAATTTTAAAAAAGAAGGAATATCACTCACAGCACTTATTTACAGTTGTTAGATGTGGTCCCTGCCCTCATGGAGTCTCTAGTAGAGAGAAGGAGAAAACAATCTGTAGGTGGTCGGAGCTATAATAGGGTATGTATGGTGGGCCATGAGGATGTACACAGAAGGGGCACTTCTGTTAGGGATGGGGCAGAGACGGCATTCTGGAGGAAATATCATTCAAGCGAGTCATGTATAATTATTTTACTATTCTTGTTACAGATGTTGACATCTCAGTCTCTTTTTAGGTTACCTCACTCATGAGAGTTTAAATATCATCATTTTTTCTCTCCCTTTAAGGTGACTCATATTCTAAATGTTGCTTGTGGAGTTGAAAATGCTTTCCTCGGTGACTTCACATATAAGAGCATCTCCATATTGGATCTCCCTGAAACCAATATCCTGTCTTATTTTCCAGAATGTTTTGAATTTATTGAAGAAGCTAAAATGAAGGTAAGTTTTATTTTAATCCACTGTCCTTCAAAAACAGAAATTTGAAAGTATGGTTCCTTTGTCTATTCTTTTTTTAAAGATTTTATTTATTTATATGAGAGGTAGAATTATAGACAGAGAGAGGGAGAGACAGAAAGTTCTTTTATCTGCTGGTTCAGTCTCCAGATGGCCACAGTGGCCGGAGCTGGGCCCATCCAAAGCTAGGAGCCAGGAACTTCTTCCATGTTCTCCTAGGTGGGTGCAGGGCCCCAAGGACTTGGGCCATCTTCTACTGCTTTCCCAGGCCATAACAGAGGGCTGGATTGGAAGAGGAGCAGCCAGGACTTGAACAGGCACCCATATGGGATGCCAGTGCCACAGGCGGAGGCTTAGCCCACCAGACCACAGAGCTGTCTCCATCTTTATTTTTTTATTTTAAATGAATTTCTAAAGATCTATTATGAAACTTTTAATCCAAAAATATTTCATCAATTCCTACATTTATTTAGTACCCTCATTGTTCTTTTCTCGTTGAGATACTTGCTTTTTTTAAAAAAAGATGTATTTATTTATTTGAAAGCCAGAGTTACAGAGAGACAGAGGCAGAGAGAGAGAAAGAGAGAGATCTTCCATCCGCTGGTTCACTCCCCAGATGGTTGCAACAGTCAGGGCTGTGCCGATTCGAAGCCAGGAGCCAGGAGCTTCTTCCAGGTCTCCTACATGGGCCCAGGGGTCCATCCTCTACTGCTTTCCCAGATAATAGCAGAGAGCTGGATTGGAAGTGGAGCAGTCAGGACTCGAACTGGTGCCCATATGGGATGCTGATATTGCAGGTGGCGGCTTTACCCAATATGCCACAGTACCGGCCCTGAGATACTTAGTTTTAACATTAATTCAGTTTCCCGTTTCCTATGTCTGAAAAATGTTAGGAAATAAAATCTTCATGTACTGAATTTTCCTGTTTAAATATGTAGTTATATTTCCTTTAAGGAATTGATAACTCTTTGCCCTCTGACCACTGCTTGCTGACCTACAGCTAGATTATAGAATAAAGAGTGTTCTAGTCTTGTTAGTATAGTTATGATGGTTAGTGCACATTCATTTTAATGACTGAGGTAGGGATTTTGAATCTATGCATTTATATTTTTTAAGATTTATTTTATTTATTTGAAAGACAGAATTACAGATAAAGGTAGAGACACAGAGAAATCTTCCTCTGCTGGCTTACTCTCCAGATGGCCGCAACTCTGGAACTAAAGCCAGGAACCAGGAGCTTCTTCCAGGTCTCTCATGAGGGTGCAAGGGTCCAAGGATTTGGGCCATCTTCTCCTGCTTTCCCATGTGCATTAGGAGAGAGCTGGATCAAAAGTGGAGCAACCGGTACTCAAACAGGCGTGCATATGGGATGCTGGTGGTGCAGGCTGGGGCTTTAATGGCTGTGGCACAGTGCAGACCTCAGAATCTATGCATTTTTTAAAAAAGATTTATTTATTTATTGAAAGGCCAAATTACAGAGAGGCAGAGGCAGAGAGAGAGAGAGAGAGAGAGAGAGAGAGAGAGGTCTTCCATCTACTGGTTCACTCCTAAGATGGCCACAACAGCCAGAGCTGGGCCGATCTGAAGCCAGGAGCCAGGAGCTTCTCCTGAGTCTCCCACACAGGCACAGGGGCCCAAGGACTTGTACCATCTTCCTCTGCTTTCCCGGGCCATAGCAGAGAGCTGGATTGGAAGTAGAGTAGCTGGAACTCGAACCAGCGCCCATGTGGGATGTCGGTATTGCAGGCAATGGCTTTACTCACTACGCCACATTTCCAGCTTCAATCTATGCATTTTTAACAACAGAATTTTAAGGCACTCTGAGGAATAAAAATGTATTGCTTTACTGAGTCTGTAAAAAGGTTGATCAGTAGCTGTCCATTGGTTTTCTGAGTTTAGAAGACCAACAGGCAATATAATATTAGATCAGAGCCAACATGCTGACAGGCAGGGCTTGTAGGCTGGTTATCTTCAAGAAGTACATCTTGAATTGACACTGTTTTATGTCAATAATTACTTATGTTATCAGGAAGTATACCTTGAATTGACACCATTTTATGTCAATAAGTACTTCTTTAAAAATGTATCTAAGGGGCTGGCACTGTGGTGTAGTTGGCTAGGACTCCACCTGCAGCACAGGCATCCCATATGGGCCATAGTTCGAGTCCCAGGTGGTCCACTTTTGGTCCAGCTCTCTGCTAGTGTTCCTGGGAAAGCAGTTGAAGATGAATCTAGTACTTGTGTCCCTGCACCTGTGTGGGAGACCCAGAAGAAGCTCCTGACTCCTGGCTTTGGATCAGCCCAGCTCCAGTTCTTGTGACCATTTGGGGAGTGAACTAGCGGATGAAAGATTTCTCTCTCTCTGCTTTTGCCTCTCCCTCTCTGTAACTCTGCCTTTCAAATAAACAAATAAATCTTTAATATATATATTTTTCTATATAGATATGTTAGGATCAGCTGCTTTTTTGAGGTGTAGAATATGGCTTAGATGGTAGAGTATAGATTTCATCTGTATCTGCATTAAAATTGCAAGATATGTACCATTGCGTGTAAAATTGGAGAGGGGTGGGCATTGACATAGTGGTTAAGATAGTACTTAGGATGACTGCATCCCATATTGGAGGCATCCTGGCTCTACTCCTAATTCCAGTTTCCTGCTAATTCCCTACCTGGAGGCAGCAGGGATAGCTGTAGTAATTGGGTCCATGCTGCATACATGAGAAACCTGAATTGAATTACAGGTTCCTGACTTCATCTTGGCCCAATCTGGGCTGTTACAGGCATTTATGGAGTAGGCCAGTAGATGGGAGTGCACTTGTTCTCTCTCTGTCTGTCTCTCTCTCTTTTTAAAAGATTTATTTATTTATTTGAGAGGCATAGCTACAGAGAGAGGGAGAGACAGAACCAGAGATCTTCTATCCACTGGTTCACTCCCCAAATGGCCACAATGTCCAGAGCTGGTCCGATCCAAAGCCAGGAGCCAGGAGCTTCTTCCAGGTCTCTCATGTGGGTGCAGGGGCCCAAGAACTTGGGCCATCCTCCATTGCTTTCCCAGGCCATCATAAGGGAGCTGGATCAGAAGTGGAGCAGCTGAGACTGGAACCGGCACCCATATGGGATGCTGGTGCCATAGGTGGAGGTTTAACCTACTATACCACAATGCCGTCCCTAAATTTTTTTTTAATAAAGAAAATTTCCCTTAATTTGAGTTAGTAGTTAATTAGATTTGTTCTTAGCATGGGTTTACTAAAGACAGAGCCTGAAACAAGGATTAGGAGCTGATGCTTAATTTGAGATGTACAATCCTTAAACACTCAGAGTGAGAAGAAAGAATTGGAAGCATTTGTGAAATACCTAGTTGATTTGTTTTGATTTAATAATTTTCAGCAATTACTATAATAAATTTTTACTATAATTTACTGTAAAAATTTATAATAATTTTTTAAAAAGATTTATTTATTTACTTGAAAGAGTTACAGAGAGGCAGAGAGCGAGAGCGAGAGAGAGAGAGAGGTCTTCTACCTGCTGGTTCACTGGTTTACTTACCAAATGGCCTCAAAGGCCAGAGCTGAGCTCATCAGAAGCCAGGAGCCAGGAGCTTCTTCTGAGTCTCCTATGTGAGTGCAGGGGCCCAAAGATTTAGGCCATCTTCCACTGCTTTCCCAGGCCATAGCAGAGAGTTGGATCGGAAGTGGAGCATCCAGGACTCAAACAGGCACCCATATGGGATGCCAGCACCACAGGTGGTGGCTTTACCTGCTATGCCACAGCATCAGCCCTATAATAAATTTTTTAAACATCTTGAGTCTCATAAAAATGGGCTGTTGGTACAAAATGAAAAAAGTTCCAGATATATGACAAATATTTTTGTGTTTATTTATTCAAGAACAGTGAATTTGGGAATGAATCATGATATCTGTAAGAAAACTACTGAAATTATCTTTGTTGATATGAAAAATTTCAGACGAAAGCTAATTTTTAAAAAATTTATTTAAATAACTTTTTAAAATTACTTATTTATTTTAAAAGTACTTATCTATTTGTAGTAGAAAGAGGAAGAGACAGATATTCCATCTGCTGGTTCACTCTTCAAAGGACCACAACAACCAGATCTGGGCCAGGCTAAATCCAGGGACCAGGAGCTCCATCCTGGTATCCCACATGGGTGGCAGGAACCCAGGTGTTTCGGTCATCTTCTGCTGGCTTCTCACCCACATTAGCTGGAAGCTGGATCGCAAGAGGAGTAGCCAGGACTGGAACTGGCAATCCAATATGGGATGCTGGCAGCTTAACCCATTGCACCACAAAACCAGCCCAGATTATTAACTAATTGTATTGTTAATCATTTGGTTTTTTTTGAAAAGAGATTCACTCACAAATTTGTTACATATATTGAGGAAAGGAATTTTGCAACATATATACAAATCTGAGAAAACTGCCTTGCAAAAATAAAATAATACAGTGAGTCACAATCATCGTACTATTAACGTGTAGAGTATTCGCAGTGGTATGTTTTGTTTTCTTACATTGTTCCCACTGTTCCCTTTGTGTTTTATCAAATGAAGATTCAAGGAATGAAGTAACTGAAATGTCTAATTCTGTAGGGTGTGTTCACAGAACATTACATTTCATTTAGATCATTAAATTTTTAGCAGCCTGAGCTAGGCCAAGATGTATCAGTGCTACTCCATCAGCTCTATCACAGTTCATTATTAATGCAATATTGCCCCCGTCAGTATTGGTCTTGCACTGTGTCCCTTTTCACTTGGAAAGTATCGTTTGCAAGTTACCTGACACGTTTTTCATTTATTGACCTCATGTTGGTGTCTGATTACTTTTTCCACTTCCTGTTGTTATATTTGTGTTATCATTTTACCATCTCATATGTTTAAACATTTTTAAAGTTATTTTCTGTCAAAATAAAATATATCCAAGGATGGAAATTTTTTCCCTGCTGATCATTTTACACAGAGTTCCAAGCCAGCGACAATAGTTTATTTATGGGAAGATTATGTATATGTGGAATGTCTCTGGATTTCTGTCTAGTTTATGATTATAGCCACTAATTTACTAAGCTTTTGTGTGTAGTTTACTGAATGAATTTCAAACACATCATCAAAGCATTTCAGTCCTAGGAGAGGGAGGAGGGCAGGTCTCAGTTGATTAATTAACTGATTGACTGTCTATTAATTGTTTATGAGAGGTGTGTTTTGATAATCAAGTCAAATCATATGCATCATCAAAACAGTATTTACAATTTTAACTAACAAGTATATAATCAATTTTATAACCTTTCTTAAGTAAATAATAATAATTTTACTTGCTTTTATTGCAGGATGGAGTTGTTCTTGTTCATTGTAATGCAGGAGTTTCCAGAGCTGCTGCAATTGTAATAGGTTTTTTGATGAATTCTGAAGAAATTTCATTTACCAATGCTTTTTCTTTGGTGAAAAATGCAAGGCCTTCCATATGTCCAAATTCTGGCTTCATGGAGCAACTTCGTACATATCAAGTGGGCAAAGACAACAAGTGTGACAAAAAACAGGAATTAGAAAAGGACAAGAGTTCATGAGTTGCATTCTAGCTGATGATGGGCAACTATAATTTCTGAATTGACTTTGATAGCCATTTTCCCTCTTTTTTTTTAGGACATGGACTAATAAAAACCTTCCTTTTATCTTGCTTACAAATGGAAATTGAGGTCAATTTGTTTTTTCTGAACTAGTATATGAATTTTTAAATTATATAACTTTTCCTTTGTTATTACAGTGTTTGATTAAATGCTTCTTTGAATTGCTAGGGAAACAACAGTGTATTACCCATCATTGATTTCTATAGAAGAAAAAGGGTTATATTTAAAGTCTATATTAGAGCAAGGAAAGAATAATCAGTTAATGAAGCCTTTTGATACTTTTCTATGCCACCAACTGTTTTCATGAAGGAAAGAATTTGATATGCTATTTGATTTACTGTTTCAAAAGGAGATAACTTTCATTGTAAAGAATATTTTTAAGTTTGAAAATAAACACTTTCAACCTCCCTGAAGAGGTGCCAGTATCTAAAGGTTATTTAGTATTTCTATAGTGGTTAAAATGTTTTCTAAATTTTTAAATCCTCTTAGGAAAACATACCCACTTCTCATTTTGTTGTTTTTTTTTTTTAGCTTAATTTTATTACCTGCATTTTTTATTTTTAAAATATGTAAACAGATATTTTTCCTTATATTATTGTAAGTGTGTGGTTAGTCTTTTACATTTTGTGCTTTTTATCTTGGGTGCCTAGCAAGCTGTTGTTGGTTCCCATGTCATAATTTTTTGGTCTCCTTGGATATGTCTTGTACTGAAGGGTATTTTTCTTAGATTTGTTTTCTTCTATGATCTGTTTTCTAATTCAAAATGTATTTCTTCCATGATCTATTTTCTAGTTTAGTCTCCTACTGGAGAACATTTTTAGAAGTATTTATTTATTTGAGAGGCAGAGAGAGAGAGACAAAGAGCTCTCATCCTCTGGCTCACTCTCCAAAAGCCCATAATGGTCAGGGCTGGGCCAAAGCTGGCAGCTTGTAACTGAATCAGATCTCCCACATGAATGTCAAGAATCAAATCTATTGAGCCGTCATTGCTGCCTCCTGGTTTCTGCATTAGGAAACTGGAGTCAGGAACAAGAGTTAGATTTCAAACCAAAGTACTCCCATATGAGATGCAGGAACCCCAACTGGCATGTTAACCACTAGGCTAACCATCCATCCCATGAGCACCATTTTAAAAAATGTTTTATTTCACTTTTATTTGACAGACCAGTAGATGGAGAAACAGAAAAGGATAGAGGACAGGTAGGGCAGGAGAGGGAGAAGGAAATCCTTTGTGCTGGTTCACTCCCTAAATGCCCACAATGGCTGGAATTGGGCCAAGTTGAACTTGAAGCCAGGAACTCAATTCAGGTCTCCCATGTGGGTGGCAGGGATGCAATGACTTGGACCATCTCCTGCTGCTTTCTAGGGTCTGCCTTGGAAGGAAACTTGAGTCAGATTAAATTTATAATTTAATCTTTGGTTAAAGGTTTTGAATAGTTTCTTTTTGCTGTCTCCATATTGTTAAGACTGAACTCTGTACATTGTAAATTTGCCTTCAGATTTTGAAATTTTTGGTTCAAATAAAGTGTATTGTAATTAAAAAACAATTTAGTAGTTTTCAAGTTCCTTTTATGGTTTAGATAATAATATTACTATGTATATTTTATTTTTAAAAATGTTTTGAGCTTATCTTTAATATGTATACATATAAATATATTCAACATATAATGCATTTTTATATAATATATAATAAATGTTATGATAATATGTTTTATATAATAAATATATTTAACATATAAATTGGAAAGTGCACATTGAATACATTTGTACATTTGAGAAATCATACTATGTTATGCTGTTGTGAGCAAAAAATAGAAGTGATAAATGCAAGTGATGGCTTGGAATTGCTTATGGTCTGGATAAAAATACTTTTCCAGCTGATGCTATGAACTCTTTTCTTCTGTTTAGAGGCAGCCCAGATGTAATTAACCTTCAGTGAGCTCCCCGAAGTCAACCAAAGCAGGGAGAATCCCCTTAAATATGAGATTCACATATAATATTGTCTCTCTGCTCAGTCTTGCTGGAGGGCTTGCTGGGTGAGCCCTCTCCATTCATATAAAAACAATTAATTTAAGTAGTTACTTTTTAGAGTGCTACTTTGTTTTCAGCTGTGGAATGTTGTCCCATGAAGAATTGATAGAATGTGTTCATAGTGGATAGTATGGCTTTTTTTTTGCCTGTAGTTTGTATGATTAGTGATCTGGTTGTTTCAAACATGTAAGTACTTTGAGGATCAGTTTTATCTTATGCTTAAATGAGACTATTTTGCTATATCCAAACTAGATCAGTGAATGTAATTCAGTGTTTTAAGTTAGGCATTCTGTGCTTTCAAGAGTTCTTTGGTAAAGCTGTCTATCTGAAAGGAAAATGAACCAAACCCACATGTGGATGGCGGTTTGAGAAAGCAATGGCCAAGACAACCTTGGCAGATTTCCCTCTTGGGCTGAGTTTTTTTTTTTTTTTTTTAATTTATTTAATGAGCATAAATTTCCAAAGTACAGCTTATGGACCACAATAGCCTCCTCCCCCCCGCCCCCGTGTCTTCCCTCCCATCCACAACGCTCCCCTCTCCCACTCCCTCTCCCCTTCCCCTTCACATCACAATTAATTTTCAATTATCTTTATATACAGAAGATCAGTTTAGCGTATGTTAAGTAAAGATTACCACATTTTGCTCCCACACAGAAACACAAAGTGTAAAATACTATTTGAGTACTGGTTATAGCATTGATTAAACACCTAAGAGTAATTGTGTATTAATTACAGAGCTCAACCAATAGTTTTAAGTAGAATATAAAATGCATCTTTTGTATTGTTGTGGCTTCCCCCCGACCTCCCTCCATCCCGTGGCCCTCCCCTCACCCACTTCCTCTCCCATCCCACCCTTCATCACGTTTCATTTTCAGTTACCTTCATATACCGAAGATCAATTTAGTATATACTAAGCAGGGATTTCAACAGGTTGCACTCACACAACCGAACCAGGTATAGGGTATTGTTCGACTAGTAGTGTTGTTTTTGAGTTTCATAGATAAACATATTAAGGACAGAGATCCTGTGTGGGGAGCATGTACCCAGTGACTCCTGTTGTTGATTTAACAATTGGCACTCTTATTTATGACGTCAGCAATCACCCGAGACTCTTGCTATGAGCTGTCTAGGCTATGGAAGCCCCTTGAGTTCACCAACTCTGAATTTGTTTAGTCAAGGCCATATCACAGTGGAGGTTCCTTCCTCCCTTCAGAGAAAGGCGCCTCTCTCCTTGATGGCCTGATTTGGGGCTGAGTTTTTTAAGAAGCAAAGTGCTTCGAGCTCTTCCCCAAGAATGGACTTTCCTTGTGTCTAGTGCTTGCTGACTTACCGGTGTTGACAGTTAAATCCTAGTGTTGTAGGTCCCAGCCAACCAATACTATATCAAACACCATTATACACATAACACATATACAGCACTGTGATCTAATTTAAACAATACTTTCTACTATTTATACTACTATAATTAATATACATAAACATCTTTGCTATATAACCTAAGTGATAACCCTCTTTTAGTTACTGAACTCTGGACTTCAGCTTCTTGTTGTTGTTATCACAGTTACAAAGTTGTAATGGTATCTTTTTTTCCATTTGTATGTAATGGAATGTGTAACTCAAAGTATATACATAGTGTGGATGTTCTTGTTTCTGGAGATTCATGAGCATTTACACATGACGTTCAGTGTTCTGTATAGATCAGCATACTTTTGTGAATTTATCTGTTAAGCTCTCTTTTTTTGAGAGAGCACGAGCAATGGTGGTTAACTCCTGTGCTCTCTCTCTCTCTCTCTCCCCCTCCCTCCCTCTCTCCCTCCCTCTCTCTTACACACACATTATTTTTTTTTTTTTTTTAAAGCTAATAAGGACCTCTCCTCTTTAGGACTTATTCCTTTGGAGAGACCTTTATTTTTTTTTTTTTTAAGATTTATTTATTTATTTATTTGAAAGAGTTACACAGAGAGAGGAGAGGCAGAGAGAGAGGGGGGCCTTCCATCCACTGGTTCACTCCCTAATTGGCCACAATAGCAGGAGCTGCGCTGATCTGAAGCCAGGATTCAGGAGCCTCCTCCAGGTCTCCCACATGGGTGCAGGGACCTAAGGACTTGGGCCATCCTGTACTGCTTTCCCAGGCCATAGCAGAGAGCTGGATGGGAAGAGGAGCAGCCGGGACTAGAACCGGCGCCCATATAGGATGCCAGCACTTCAGGCAAGGGCATTAACCTGCTGCGCCACAGTGCCAGCCCCACACACATTATTTTTTAAAAACATTTTATTTATTTATTTTAGAGGTAGAGTTACAGAGAGAGGAGAAGATAGAGAGAAAGGTCTTCCATCCTCTGGTTCACTCCCCAAATGGCCACAACAGCGGAGCTGAGAGTATTTGAAGTCAGGAGCTAGGAGTTTCTTCCAGGTCTCCAACACGGGTGCAGATGCACTTGGGCCATCCTCTGTTACCTTCCCAGGCCATAGCAGAGAGCTGGACCAAAAGAAGAACAGCTGGGACATGAACCGGGCCCATATGGGATGGTGGTGCTGCAGGCATAGGCTTAGCCTACTATGCCACAGTGCCTACCCTCACTCGTTATTCCTTTTTTTTTTTTTTTTTTTTTTAAAGATTTGTTTGTTTATTTGAAAGTCAGAGTTACACAGAGAGGAGAGGCAGAGAGAGACAGAGATCTTCCATCTGTTGGTTTACTCCCTAGTTGGTTGCAACAGCCGGAGCTGTGCCGATCCAAAGCCAGGAGCCAGGAGCTTCTTCTGGGTCTTCCATGTGGGTGCAGGGGCCCAAGGTGTTGGGCCATCTTCTCCTGCTTTCCTAGGCCATAGCAGAGAGCTGGACTGGAAATGGAGCAGCTGGGACTCAAACTGGCACCCTTATGGGATGCCGGCACTGCAGGCAGTGGCTTTACCCACTACACCACAGCACCAGCCCCTGGTTATTCTTGAATTAAGCACGGATTCATCAGCTCTGTTGCTTTATCACAAAAAATGTGAGTGACCTTGCAATTCTTCCACAGTTTGGCAGACAAGTTTTAGCTTCACTGACCAAAAATTTAGGAAGGAAAATACAATTTTTTAAAATAACCCATATTTTGATGACCAAAAGTGATATGTCTATGGTGCTGCTGCTTGCTGTTGTATTTCTGAAGTCAGACCCATGTGAAAGGCCATTTCCAACTCATTGTGAAATGCACATAAGTACCCATTCCTGTTGTTTTGTTAGTGTTGAAATCCATCTATTTATTTGGTGTCTAGACAACAGTGTCTTTCTACTATATTTCATTTGCAAAAGTGGAGAGCAGCCAGCTCCATCTTTTTCAAGTCATTGATATTCCATATTAAATTCTCAAAGACTTCAATATGGTGAACCTATCAGACCTAGAAATCCTTTCATGACTGTGGCCTAAGTTCCCCAGCCCCTTCCCCCCTTTTTAGATGAAACTTAGCACACTGTCAGTTATTTAAGCATTCATTATTACTTGTGTATGTGTTGTTGAGATCATCTAAGCTCATAGCTGATTCAGTAACCAGTTTCATGTTGTGTCATCATACTCCTGATACTGCCACGGTGAAAATGTGGAGGAAAAAATATCTGTGTATCTGGGAAGCAGATACACTTGTACATTTTTTGTACTCTGATTCTGTAATGTTTCTTGAGGTTTTTTTTTTTTCTTTTAACAGAAAAATAAAAGCAAAGATAAAGAAATTGGAAGACCAAGAAGTTTACTACTGATACTTAGGGTCATCTGATCTTTGTTTACCAATAGACCTATATGGCTAAATTAATTTACAGGAGTAATAATTTTTCAAAAGCCATTTTTTTCCTACATGAAACTGCCAGTGTCATGAATAAAAAGGCAGAACCATAAAGGAAAAAGATCATGAAGTACATCTGTGTTTGTCTGCAGACAGGCAGCATCAGGCAAACCTTAGGGAATTGGTAGTGTTGCTTCAGAGGCACCCATACTTGCAACTTGCATTCTTCATGTGTAATCATATTACAAAAGACAAACTATTTCATCATTTATTATAAATAACACTTTTCCCCAGACCTACCATAAAGTTTCTGTGATGTATTGCCTTCCAGTTGCAATAAAAATTACTGAGTTATAAAAAAAAGATAAATTATGTATACTGCGGCAGGTGTTTGGTGCAGCAGTTAAAATGCTGCTTGGGATGCCTGCATCCCATATTGGGGTGCTAGGGTTTAAGATCCTGTTTTGCTTCCAATTCCAGCCTCCTGCTAATGAACACCCTGAGAAGCAGCAGATGTGGAAGATCTAGATTGAGTTCTAGGCTGCTGGTTTTGGCCTGGCCCAGCCTAAGCTGTGGTGGGCATCTGGGGAGACAACCAGCAGATAGAAGATTTATGTCTGTCTTTGTCTCTGACTTTCAAATATATAAAAAAGTATACATTAAAAATTTAAAAATTAGGTGAACTATGTAAGGCGTTGATGGGTCATGAGAGGAAATTTCAAAAGTTTACAGAAAAATAGAATTAAAAAGGGAGTTA